CCTTTTTTTCCTTCCTTTCTTTATTTCTTTCTTCCTTCCGTCCTTTCTTTCTTTTTTCCTTCCTTCCTAACTTACTTTATTTTTCCTTTCTTTCTTCCTTCCTTCCTTTCTTTTTTCATTTCCTTCCTTCCTTTCTTTTTTTCCTTCCTTCCTTCCTATATTCCTTTCTTCCTTCCATCCTTTCTTTCCTTCTTTTATCCTTCTTTCCTTCCTTTTTTTTCTTCCTTCTTTCTTTTTTTTCCTTTCTTCCTTCCTTCCTTCCTTCCTTTATTTGTCCTTTCTTCCTTCCTTTTTTTTTTCTTTCCTTTCTTCCTTCCTTTCTTCTACATATCTGTCATTGATTTTTTTTTTATCTATCTACACATGATACATAAATTATATATGTCTATATATAGATAGAATGATAGAGATAGATAGATGATAGAGTGATAGAAAGATAAGAGATGATAGATCAATGACAGGTGTCTATTAATATAGAAATGTTTATACATCATAGATGATAGAAAGATAAATAGATAATAAATCAATGATAGATGTCTATAGATAAATATGTAGACAGATGATAAATCAATGATAGATTTCTATTGTTACAGTAATAGATAGACAGATAGGTAGACAGACAGATAAATAGATAGATAGATAGATAGATAGATAGATAGATAGATAGACAGACAGATGATAGATAGATAGATGTAACTGACATGACTTGTTCTGAGCACACACCTTGCCACGTTCACACCTCTATATTCCTCTGTCTATGTTCTCTATGTAGAGTGTATACCTTGTGTTGGAGATCCTGGTTGTAGGTAGAACATTGCCTTCCCTCGGATGGTTCCTCCATTGTACTCTTCCCTCTCTGGTATTCCTGGTAGAATAGTGGACTCGGCTCCCACCAGCTCCATGCACAGGTCACCTGTCTGCGCTGTTCTTCACTCCTATCGTCACCATAGACGAAGCTTGGCCTCTCTGTTAGCAGTAGGAGGAGGAGGTGAGAGGAAGCTCTGCTATCCCCATCTGACTGTTATATAAACTCAGCATTGCCAGGGATGGGGGAGGTAAGACAGACTGGAATAACATCTCTGCACACCCACCACATTATCATTTTATCCGGTATACTGTTCACATTTAAAGAAAACCGCTTTGCCACTAAAACCGGTTACATATAAATTATGCCATAAACATATGAAGATAAAATAAAACAGATAACAAGGTACAGTCCTCAAAAAAAGTCCATGATGTGCAGCTGGAAATCATACAAACCCCATATCCATAGAGACAACAGTGCCACCGAAGAAAAAGAAATCCTCCACCGTCAACACACACAGCCTCTTACCCTAAAGGAATGGCCACAAAGCATGCGGTCAAAACAGCGCATGTGAAGTGTATTGATGGCTAGGGGTCCCAACTGATCTCTTCACTGAAGCTTTTCCACTGCAACTTACTCCATAGCAGAAATGCAATATTAAATCGAGAGGCTGATCAAAAAAAGTCCCAAATGCATTTATGTGAAAAAACAAGATCTCTTCATTGTATAGTATTTAGTAAAATCAAAGCTTTAATAAGAATATCTCACTTACAAACATTGAATGTTCAGCATGTAAAATCCAAAGATGTTTCCAACCAACAAGATGGCCGTGATGCGTGGCGTGATGACGTTATAGGGCAGCCCAGTCTGGAGGAAAGAAGGGAAGGGGGGGAGACATGATTGCATTCTTTAAAGTGGTTTGAGGTTTTTTTTACCTTCATGCTTTCTAAAAAAAAAACTTTCTGTGTGTAGCAGCCCCCATTAACGCTTACCTGAGCCTCATAGCGATCCAGCAATGTCCATGAGAGCCTCAGTTCTCTGTAGACTCACACTTCTGATTGGCTGAGGTAGCAGTGGGATCACAGGCAGTGAGCCAATCAGGAGAGAGGGCAGTCATGGCTCTTTGTGAATGGACACGCAGCTCGTAAGCGTGCCTGCTCAGGTGCCCCCATAGCAGGGGTGGACTGACCATTTGGAAACTCGGGCACTGTCCAAGGGCCCGGGGTCAGTAGGGGGCCCCATGAGATGCCCCTGGTACCTTTTTTTTCATAGGTTTTTTTTTGAGTTTGGGCAAGGACACAGGGGCCCCATGATCCCCTATTGAGGGCCGGGAGTCAGTAGGGGGCCCCATGACATGCCCCTGGTACCTTTTTCATAGGTTTTTTTGAGTTTGGGCAAGGACACAGGGGCCCCATGATCCCCTATTGAGGGCCGGGAGTCAGTAGGGGGCCCCATGACATGCCCCTGGTACCTTTTTCATAGGCTTTTTTGAGTTTGGGCAAGGACACAGGAGCCCCATGATCCCCTATTGCCCGGGGGCCCCATGAGTTGTCAGTCCGTCCCTGCCCCATAGCAAGCTGCTTGCTGTGGGGGTACCTGACAAGAGGGAGGGGCCAGGAGCACCAGCAGGGGACCCGAGAGAAGGATGATCAGGGATGCTCTGTACAAAACCATTACACAGAGCAGGTAAGTATAACATGCTTGTTATTTAAAATAGACTTTAGTATCACTTTAAATACATCAAGGTGTGAATAAAGTTCAGGAGGGCAGTGTTTTCAATATGAAGCCAAGATCAAGAACACGCAGACATGACCTCAAACTAACTAACTAGTCTTACAAAGTTTTATGTTACTGAAAGGGTAGAAGATGCTTGGAACAGGGGCGGACTGACAACTCATGGGGCCCCCGGGCAATAGGGAATCATGGGGCCCCTGTGTCCTTCCCAAACTCAAAAAAGCCTATGAAAAAGGTACAAGGGGCATCTCATGGGGCCCCCTACTGACCCCGGGCCCTCGGGCAGTGCCCGAGTTTCCAAATGGTCAGTCCGCCCCTGGCTTGGAATAGACTTCCAGCAGAGGTAGTGAATCAGTCAACGGTAGTGGCTTCAAACATGCTTGGGACAAACAGAGATTTATACCCAGACAAAAAAGGTACCAAAGAAAAAAAACATGTATAAATTAAAAAAAAAAAAGATGGTGGAAACTCAATGGACCATTTTATCTTTTTTCTGCTGTCACTTTTCTATATTTTTATCGCTATCAGAAGAGATTGATCGGAAAAGAAATCGATCAGCAAAGCATGCATGGCCACCATTAAAAAAAGAGGTATGAAATTACATTCTTTTTCTATAGATGTTGGCATGATGTGTTCCTCTCCTTTTATACTGTGTGCTGCAAAGCCGAAGCCCGGTCGTCTAAGGACAAGATGCTCTACTTTGGAGAGTCGCCTAAGAACTCAATTTCTCCTGTCACAGCGATTTATAAACGGTGCTCAGCTGCAAGAGACTCTGAATGCAATCAGTGTCATGTAAAAGTCTTCTAAGAAAAAAAATGGAAACAAAAAAATGATCTGAGATGTCTATAAGCAATGACAAGCACGAGTGCCTGCCCGTGAGTTAAAGAGGAATTGTACTGTTTTATATATATATATATATATATATATATATATATATATATATATATATACACACATCTGGTTGATGTATTAAATAAATACATACATTTATGGACAATTTTTTATATATTCTCTCTCTGTCTCTCCTTATACAGTGCCTTGAAAAAGTATTCCTATCCCTTGAAATTTTACACATTTTGTCATGTTACAACCAAAAACGTAAATGTATTTTATTGGGATTTTATGTGATAGACCAACACAAAGTGGCACATAATTGTGAAGTGGAAGGAAAATGAGAAATGGTTTTCAAAACTATTTTACAAATTAATATCTGAAAAGTGTGATGTGCATTTGTATTCAGCCCCCTTTACTCTGATACCCCTAACTAAATTTTTAGTGGAGCCAATTCTTTAGAAGTCACCTGATCAGTAAATAGAGGCCACCTGTGTGTAATTTAATCTCAGTATAAATACAGCTGTTCTGTGAAGCCCTCAGAGGTTTGTTAGAGAACATTAGAGAACAAACAGCATCATGAAGTCCAAGGAACACAACTGGCAGGTCAGGGATAATGTTGTGGAGAAGTTTAAAGCAAGGTTAGGTTATAAAAAAATATCCCAAGCTTTGAACATCTCACGGAGCACTGTTCAATCCATCATCTGAAAATGGAAAGAGTATACACAACTGCAAACCTACCAAGACATGACCATCCACCTAAACTGACAGGCCGGGCATTAATCAGAGAAGCAGCCAAGAGGCCCATGGTGACTCTGGAGGAGCTGCAGAGATCCAGAGCTCAGGTGAGAGAATCTGTCCACAGGACAACTATTAGTAGTAACAGATATTAAGCCGTCAACGCTTTACACACATAAATACTTACATAGTTAGTCTGGCTGAAAAAAAGACAAAAAATCCATCCAGTTCAACCAATAAAACAAAAAAAAGTTATAATCCTACACCCACAGGTGATCCAGAGGAAGGCAACAAAACTCAGCAAAGCATGATCCAATTTGCTCCTGCAGGGAAAAACAAATTCCTTCCTGATCCCCCGAGAGGCAATCGGATATTCCCTGGATCAACATTACCTATAAATGTTAGTATCCAGTTATATTCTGTGTATCTAGGAAAGAATCCGGGACTTTTTTAAAGCAACCGACTGAGCTGGCCAGAACCAACTCTTGAGGGAATCTATTCCACATTCTCACAGCTCTTACTGTGAAGAAACCTTTCCCTGTTTGGAGACTAAATCTCTTTTCCTCCAGACGTAAAGCGTGCCCCCTTGTCCTCTGTGATGACCTCAGGGTGAATAACTCTACACCGAGTTCTATATATAATCACTGTATATTGTACATTCACATCAGATACAGTACTGTGCAAACGTTTTAGGCAGGTGTGAAGAAATGCTGTAAAGTAAGAATGCTTTCAAAAATATATTTTGATTTTTTTTTTTATCAATTTGCAAAATGCAAAGTGAGCGAACAGAAGAAGCACCTAAATCAAAGCAATATTTGCTGTGACTGCCCTTTGGCTTCAAACCAGCATCAATTCTTACACATCAAGAAAACTTAATGCAGATGAAAGACACATCATCAGGGGCGGACTGACAACTCATGGGGCCCCCGGGCAATAGGGGATCATGGGGCCCCTGTGTCCTTGCCCAAACTCAAAAAAGCCTATGAAAAAGGTACCAGGGGCATCTCATGGGGCCCCCTACTGACCCCGGGCCCTCGGGCAGTGCCCGAGTTTCCAAATGGTCAGTCCGCCCCTGCACATCATGCTTACTTCCCTCCAAGATCGGAGATGTCCAGCAGTGCTATCAGCACAGAACTGGCGGATACCATTGGGACCCAGGTACACCATCTACTGTCTGGAGAAGTCTGGCCAGAAGTGGTCTTCATGGAAGATTTGTGACCAAAAATCCATACCTTCGATGTGGAAACAAGGCTAAGCGACTCAACTATGTATGGAAACATAGGAACTGGGGTGCAGAAAAATGGCAGTAGGTGCTCTGGACTGATGAGTCAAAATCTGAAATATCTGGCTGTATCAGGAGGCAGTTTGTTTGCTGAAGGGCTGGAGAGCAGTACAATAATGAGGGTCTGCAGGCAACTGTGAAGCATGGTGGAGGTTCCTTGCAAGTTTGGGGCTGTATTTCTGCAAATAGAGTTGGAGATTTGGTCAGGATCAATGCCTCAATGCTGAGAGATACAGGCAGATCCATATCCATCATGCCATACCATCAAGGAGGCATGTGATTGGCCACAAATGTATTCTGCAGCAGGACAATGACCCCAAACAAACATGCAACCAATTTCATTAGGAACTATATTCAGCTTAAAGAAGAACAAGGAGTCCTGGAAGTGATGGTTAGGCAGCCACAGAGCCCTGATCTCCAGGGACATATTTACCACAAGGCAAGCAAGGCATTTGCCTAGAGCGCATTTTTTTAGAGGGGCAGCACTGCCCCCCGGAAGAAGGGACATTGGGACCAGGTGGGACCAGGTGGGTTCCGAGAGAGGCTGTGGGCTGCTTGATGGTTTATGCAGAGCCCAACTGTCATTCCTGGGGATGGCCAGAGCTGTGAAGGATCTCTCTGCAGGAAGAGGGGGTCTGGAGTTGGTTGGTGGCAGGCTCTCTCTGCCGGGGAGGGGGGGCATCCAATTTTGGTGTTGCCTAGGGCAGCACAAAAACCTAAATACAGCACTGCTGATCTTAACATCTGTCTGGAATTACCGTATTTTTCGCTCCATAAGACGCACTTTATTCCCCCCAAAAAAGGGGGGAAAATGTCAGTGCGTCTTATGGAGCGAATATAAAGCGGCCGGTCCGGTATTTCTGCTCTGCCGCCACCATGTCAGAATACCGGGCCGGCCGCTCAGCTCAGCTCAGCTGTTCTCTCCTGCAGGGCCTTACCTGTTCCTCGCTCCAGCGCTGCACAGTCTTCCCGCGCTGGCTTCTGTGACAGCCGGGTGCCCACTGCGCATGTGCTGCGCTTTGTGAATGATCCGGTGTCTTCTGGGACACATGACAGGTCCCAGAAGGCGCCGGGCCATTCACAAAGCACAGCGCTTCTCGCACATGCGCAGAGGGCACCCGGCTGTCACAGAAGCCGGCCCGGGAAGGAGACAGAAGGACAACTCCGCGGAAGTGGGAGCGGGTACCTGTCAAATTCAGGTACCCGCTCCCCCTCCCTCCCCAAAGGTCAGCAGTCTCTGTTCATCCCCTGCACTGTCTGCAGTCTCTGGTCATCCCATGCACTGTCTGCAGTCTCTGGTCACCCACTGCACTGTCTGCAGTCTCTGGTCATCCCCTGCACTGTCTGCAGTCTCTGGTCATCCCCTGCACTGTCTGCAGTCTCTGGTCATTCCCTGCACTGTCTGCAGTCTCTGGTCATTCCCTGCAGTCTCTTGGTCACCCCCCTGGACTGTTTGCAGTCTCTTGGTCACACCCCTGGACTGTCTGCAGTCTCTTGGTCATCCCCTGGACTGTCTGCAGTCTCTTGGTCATCCCCTGGACTGTCTGCAGTCTCTGGTCATCCCCTGCACTGTCTGCAGTCTCTGGTCATCTCCTGCACTGTCTGCAGTCTCTGGTCATCTCCTGCACTGTCTACAGTCTCTGGTCATCCCCTGCACTGTGTCCGCAGTCTCTGGTCATCTCCTGCACTGTGTCCGCAGTCTCTGGTCATCTCCTGCACTGTGTCCGCAGTCTCTGGTCATCTCCTGCACTGTGTCCGCAGTCTCTGGTCATCTCCTGCACTGTGTCCGCAGTCTCTGGTCATCTCCTGTACCGTGTCCGCAGTCTCTGATCATCTCCTGTATTGTGTCCGCAGTCTCTGGTCATCTCCTGTACTGTGTCTGCAGTCCATTGGTTCAGAATATTTTTTTTTCTTGTTTTTTGCCTCTAAAACCTAGGTGCGTCTTATGGTCAGGTGCGTCTTATGGAGCGAAAAATACGGTACATGAAGACACAGAAGGATTTGAGGAAGCCGACATCCACAGGAGATCTGTGGTTAGTTCTCCAACATGTATGGAAACACCTACCTGCCGAGTTCCTTCCAAAAACTGTCTGCACGTGTACCTAGAAGAATTGATGCTGTTTTAAAGGCAAAGGGTGGTCGCACCAAATATTGATTTGATTTGGATTTCTGTTCTTATTTACTTTCCATTTTGGTAATTGATACAAATAAACTATTATCACTTCTATTTCTGAAAACATTCTTCATTTACAGCAATTTTTCACACCTGCCTAAGACTTTTGCAAAGTACTGTACTTCTAGATCAGTGGTTCTCAACCAGTGGGTCGTGACCCCTTTAAGAGGGGTCGCCTAAGACCATGGGGGGGGGGGGGGGGGAAGGGAACACATATTTCTGATGTGTAAAGAGCAGCTACTGTGTAGAAAGCAGCTACTGTGAAGAAAGCAGCTACTGTGTAGAAAGGAATCCCAACCACGGCACCACCTGCCTGGAGTTTGCATGTTCTCCCTGTGTGGGTTTCCTCCAGGTACTCCGGTTTCCTGAAATAAATAAATAAATAAAGGAGCTACTGTGTAGAAAGCAGCTACTGTGAAGAAAGCACCTACTGTGTTGAAAGCAGCTATTCTGTTAAAAACAGCTATTGTGTAGAAAGCAGCAGTATTGGAGGTAAAACGACACTTCATGAATTATAATTTCTGGGTAAATAATTTTATGATTGGGGGGTCACCACAACATGAGGAACAATATTAAAGGGTCGTGGCATTAGGAAGGTTGAGAACCACTGTTCTAGATGAATGTTGCAGCAACATCCCATTGCAGGGGCCCCTGAGAATGATGCGGCATCTGTCTTTATGTTGGAAACCTGAAGACAAAATCTGTGGTAATGAAGGGATCCTCCAACCATTTATCGTTCACTGTCGCTTTCTTTCTGATTTCCTTTTTCCGACAAACACCGGTACAGGAAGTGACATATACAATCAACTTGATGGTGTTACTAAACTTACAACATTCAAATCAGTCTGTATATGCAATAAAGCATGCTTGTTATACTCACTGTGGAACCTCTGCACTGCGTAAAAGGGAAGTTTGATCCTGACTTGTCTGATCCTCCTCTTGCTCAAATGTCCACGTCTTATCTCCTGATAAGACAGACTGAACTGTAGCCATTCTGCACATGCTCAGTTTAGTGTGCATTGCTAGAGAGGTTTTTTTTTTTTATTGGGAGAGTGCAATCAGCACTGTCCAGACAGAGGTCAGGGGCTTTGCATCCTCCTAGAGCAGAAAGAACACTCCTCCTACAAGCTTTTTTTTTTTTTAAATCCAAACAACTTTTATTGCCAAGATAATAAAAAAACATGGAACAGTACTTACAAAATCTACAATGACATTACTCCATCAACAGGATTACACATAAATAAAACAATGTAGATACGCAGATCCCGTAATGGACAGAATAAAAGAAATAATAATCAATCAGAACAGAGACCACAAGGATCCAAGGCCCCTCCTACAATCTTTAACCAGTGCTCTGCTGAACACTGATAGAAGTCACAAGACTGCTATATACTGCTAATGACTAAGGGTATTTAGCAGTTTATATTTACTAAAATAATTGTACTTCCATGTTCTGTGTACTGTGGGAGACCTCACATGGGGAGGACAGTGATATTTGGGGGGCAGTGACATGGGGAGGACAGTGACATTGGGGGGGGGACAGTGGCATTGGTGGGGGCCATGACATAGAGAGGACAGTGACATGAGGGGGGGCAGTGACTGTGGGGGCCTCACATGGGGAGGACAGTGACATTTGGGGAGTAGTGACATGGGGAGGACAGTGATATTGTGGAGGACAGTGACATGGGGAGGGGGCAGTGACATGGGGAGGACAGTGACATTGGGAGGACAGTGATATGGGGAGGACAGTGGCATTGGGGTGGGCCATGACTGGGGGAGGAGGTCAGTGACATTGAGGGGCAGTGACATGGGGAGGACAGTGGCATTGGAGTGGGCTATGGCATGGGGTGGGCCATGACATGGGGAGGTCAGTGACATGGGGAGGACAGTGACATTTGGGGAGCAGTGACATGGGGAGGACAGTGATATTGTGGAGGACAGTGACATGGGGGGGGGGGCAGTGACATGGGGAGGACAGTGACATTGGGGGGACAGTGATATGGGGAGGGACAGTGGCATTGGGTTGGGCCATGACTGGGAGAGGTCAGTGACATTGGGGGGCAGTGACATGGGGAGGACAGTGGCATTGGGGTGGGCCATGACATGGGGGGGCACTGACATGGGGAGAACAGTGACATGGGAAGGTCAGTGACATTGGGGGGGCAGTGACATGGGGAGGACAGTGACATTGAAGGGGGGCCTGGAGATCAGATCATTTACCTGAGAGGTGAACCACAGAAAGAGGATACCAGATACTGCTGGAGAAGGATCTAGGATTGATCCTGAAGGCTTGGTGGCCCATTAGGGTTGCAGAGTGGAGGTGAGGGGGCATTTTAGCCACAGGGGATAAGTGTGCTGACACCAACACAGCAATTATCACTTTGATCACCTTGCATGAACTTTTTGTGGTTTGAGAACTTTAACAGAGGATTTATGAACTTTTGTGATTTTATACTCATTTTGTATCAGTTTGGTCACTATTTTGCACTTATCACTTTAAGGCTACGTTCACACTAGCCTTGTGTGCAGGCGGCAGAGAGGCGTTTGGGAAGCGTTTTTACCGCTTCCCAAACGCCTCTGCCAATTCTGCACATTACAGCACATGGTGCTGTTCTAACGG